ATGAACAAGTCGTCGGTGACTTGGTAGGTCGACTCCATGAAGTGCCACGCCTGGTGGCCGGCGTCGAGGTACTCCCGGCACCACTTCAAGGCAATCTGTATGCTAGGCGAGTAGCACCACGAGATGACCATGAAGGTCAACAGCTGCACGGCGCGAAACTCCGCACGCAAGTCGGGGTCATCCGGCATCGCCACGGTGCCTCGAGCAAAGCCGATCAGCCCGACCATCTCCAGCTAGGGCTCGATGGCTTCCTTCCAGGTGAGGATGTCTTATCAACCCACGAGCGGCGGGGTGACCAAGATCCTGTCCGGCGTAAACTTGAAGTAGCCGTAGCTTGGCGCAATCCCGCCCGCTATCACCGACATCGGTGACAACCACTTCGTTGTCCTCCGACGTCGCCTTGCGAGGAGCCTGCAGCCGCCGACGACTGCACCCCTTGTGCCTGAACGCCGCCGACTTCATCGGCGTGTATCACACCACTCTGCCTCGACGTGCCTCCCGCACTGCTGCCGACTTGGCCACCTCCTGCGTGGACGTCCACGTCGACGCCGCCTTCGTTGGTCACCGGTCGAGAAGCCGGTCGAGAAGGGGGATGCTCCGTCGCCCATATGGTGCGGAGCCCAGCCTCGACGACCACGCAGGGTATCGCCCCGTACTCCTGGGCCTCATGACGTCTCCTCGCATCCTCCAGCCGTCCCTCCAGGGTGTCCGTCACCTCTGTGTCACCTACGCGCACGCTAGGGACTCTACGGCTGCCAGCCTACGAGCAACTTAGGTAAGTGACCACTACGTCGACCTGACAGAAAAAGGTAAGTCGTATGCCGTCCACGCTCACCGCACCATGCGGAGATAACTACTACAACGGGAACTAGACTACGGGCTAGGCACGGGTGCTCGTGTGACCTCTGTGTTCGTTGGTCCTTAGTCGTTTTCCTAGTGCACACACTGCTTGCTAGTTCACAGAGAGAATTGGCAAGAGTTTCACTAGAGATAGTTGACAACAATGGTACAAAGAAGTTGGCGTAGCAAGACTACATCAGAGCTAGCACTCAGGTCGGTCGAGTGCCAGCTGAGCATGGTCGACCGCGTTCGAGCACGACTTGGTCGACCACGCTCCTGCTTGGACGCGGTGGATTAGCTTGCAGTGCTGCTGGCGCCCGTGCTGGCTGCGCTCGCAGAGGGTGGCGCTGCGGCTGTGGGACAGCTTGACGAGGCCGTGCGGGGCTCGAGGCGACACTTGCCCGCAGATTCTGGAGCCGCCGCAATCGGCGCAAGCACGCTTGTGGTCCGAGAGCCGTGTCGCACCCTGATGGGCGTTCTTCACGCCCTTGGAGCTCACCGCATGTAGACGCGGGCTCCGCTTGCCCCATGAGTGCTCACGGCTTGGCCGCGGTAGGTTTTGCCATTCGTGTAATGCCTTTGAATATAGATAACTTTGCGTGCTGTTTCTTGCCGTTCCCTTCGGCGACCGACACGAGCCGCTCGGTTAGGAGAAGCAAATGAAAAAGAACTGAACAATGAGGAGAGTGAGCCCCAAAACAGGGCTATGTAGTAGGATGGAGAGGCATGCATTTATTTTGCTTATAGGGTACAGGCATGCAGGTTTCGGTGTTAGCTGGTAGGTTAGCCTAGGCAAGCAACCTGATGGGCGGAAAAGCAAACAAGCAGACGAATTACACAATCACTACCGACCAAGCGTAATCAGTGGTTGGGCTGCCATGTACTGCCAAAAGTGCACCAGAAACTTCTCTACCCGCTATGTCTCACTCCCTCTCGTGCCGGATCCCATTGCACCTGCCGCCTCTGCTTTCCACCCCCTAGCTTCTACACTGCTGCAAGGTCGTCGTCAAGCACCTGCCACAGGTCCCCCAGGCTAGGCTCCCAGGGATCCAGTGGTGCTTGTGGGTAGGCCGCCTCTACCGCCATGTTGGATTTGTTGAGGAGATGGCCTAGGAGCACTGCAGCATGACAGACCAGCGCTGTCGGTAGTGTGCATTAAGCGTGGAGGACGTTGTGGTAAGTGGCCCCTGCCGGAACTTCTTCTTGGCCGTTGCCACTACCAGCAACCGAAGGAACTGGACCGTATGTGTCGCTAGGGCACCGTAGGTCTCTACCGCCAACCCAAGGAACCCAACGTAGTCTGGGCGGCCCTAATAGAGGTGATGCTTCTTCTCCGAGGCCTCCCTGGCTGCCCACCCCGGCGGCTTCCCCACCCTATTGTCTTGCTTCTGGAGCACCTGGTCCGTCACTGTGACATCAGTGACCCACATCTCCACTGATTCCCTGTCCTGGAATGCCAAGTCCACACGTTTGCGGGGGACCGGGGGTGAGAACACCGATGTCTCATGGAAAGTGTTGAAACCCGCTTCCCTAGCCATTCTAGGGGCCGTGTATACCAGGGCATTGTGTGTCCGTACCACATTCCCTCCTTCCCCACACCGCAGCAGATGGTTAGCAAGGCTTGTGTCATCAATGTCCGAGTTATCCTTCTTGCACTTGACCGTGACCGGCAGAGTCATCCCGAGGCGGAAGCCGACTGCTTGCGAGAACTGACCAGGGGCAAATGTAAGGTCAGATCTCGTCAGCACTGCGTGAAGCCAATCTCCGGCTCCCACCCCTCTCAGACTAACTAGCCGGACGCCATGTCCCTGATCCTCTCCCGGTCTGTCAACCATTGTATCCGATAGCAGCTCCCTCGCCCTAGCCGTGTTGATGTGCTTGGAGGGGAGCAGCTGCATGTTACCCTATTCCTACGGTCCCTCCCTGTAGGCTTGCAGGGCTAATTTTGCCTCCACCGGCAGCCCCTCCTCCAGCGTCACAATCATGTTCACTGCCGGGGTGGAGGGACCCAATCCCGCGAGAGTAAGGTCACTGTGCGCGCCAGTAGGTCCGAATCAGGTAGGTTTTTCTGTTGCAGCAGGTGATGAGCTGCTGTCAGCGAGGCGATGTACGCTGCTGGGGCCTCGGAGATTGGGTCGATGATGGTCAACCCCCCGAGGCGGATGGGCACGGTCGCCTGTCGCCACAGGGGACTCTGTTCTAGTTCACTCGAGGGGATCCTGAGTTTGCCCGCTGAAAGCGCTGCGCCTAGCAGTGACTTGCTCCACGCCCTCCATTCCTCACGCTCTAATGTGCAGCTCGGGGTCGTCCGGAGCAGGTACGATATCCTGCGTGAAATGCTGCGGCTGAGCAGGAGCAGTGCGTGTTGTGGGTGGAGTTGCACGATCAAGGGGACCGAAGCCGATGCCTTGGTGAGCGCCTGCTAAACCTGAGTGGTGCAGTATGTTGGAGTGCCAATCGGGCTGCCCAGCACTTTGATACCGTCTGCGCTCATTGTTAGACCGTGTAGCAGCTTTGCAAGTCCTTCTTCACCCTCACCTGGTCCCCATGCCGATGACTTCCCAATGTTGCAGTGGAGTCCACACTTTGCAAGCTCCGTAATGATAACGTCGAAGGCTTGAAATGCAATCCTGCGCAGTCCCACTACAGTGATGTCATCGGCATAGGCTATGATGGCCGCTCCCGGGTGTGTTGATGCAGCACACATTAGAATCGGCAGGATTGCTGCTGCAAATAGGAGCGGCCCGAGTGGATCGCCTCGACGCACACCTCTGGAGCTCATGATGTGGTCCACGCCCAAGGGTGGGTCAACCAGGAGTCGTAAGGACGAGTCGTAGAGCGTTCCTACGAGCGGCAGTAGCTGATGCAGGTCTGAAATCTGTAAAGCCGAGAAGAAGGCCTCCCGCTCGACCGAGTTGAAAGCATTCTCTACGTCGAGTTGGAGGGCTACGTGGTTCTCGTTCTCGTGAAGCAGGGCATGGACCGTGCGTATGATGCACTCTACTCCACTTGGTACAGAAACACCGTACTAGACGGGGAGAAAAAATCTGCAGATAGCCAGTGCCAGTTCGCGCAGTGCCGCTTTAGCAGCTACCCTAAGCAGTGCCTCCCCGATCGCAATGGGCCTTATGCCGCCTCCCGGCTTCTCTAGTGCTATCAAGCGGGACGACATGATTAAGTTTCATACTGCCTGAGTTTGCTCGCTGTTGAGTAGCTGGCGGATAACCTGGGTGAGGAGGAGCAGGACTTCCTCGCTGCAGTGGGCTTGGTCCTTGAGATGCTCGAAACAGGTGCCAGACGAGCCAGCACCTACCCCATTTGGTCATTTCGCGAGGACTTCGCGGACGTCATCGGGAGTCACAGATACTGATGATGCAGAGGAACCAGCCGTGCTGGTAACCCAACTTGGGATTGGTGTCTCGCCTACGGGGTGTTTCGATCATATCACTGCAAGTGTAGTTGGTGTTGCTTCCGCTAGCGGGGTCACTTGTAGCGCAGCCACTACTTTGGAGATGTTCGCTTTTTTTATTAGTCCTTCTGCCCTCGCACAAAGGCCCGTGTCATCTGGTTGGTGTCTTGACGGGGCTTCAGTAACGGGTATGGCACAGGCTTCACTGTAGAGGTCTGCGAGGTCCCCGAGCCTGAAGTGATGTAGCCGTGTCTCAATTTTGATCCAGCGGTTCCCTTCCACCGGCTCTGGTAGGGGCTGGAGGGTCAAACGTGGTAGGAACTGCAGCACTGTCCAAGCTCCCAAGCAGTCACGGTTCTTAGCCAAACACAGAAGGGGCGCCAGGAGGCATAGCGTGTAACCCTCTAGGAATTTCGGGGGCATTCCGCGGACTAGGAAAGGCTGGTCCATCCGTTGGAGTGGTGTAACATCCCATGTGCTGGCTAGATGCTAGATGCTCTCGTCCTCTGCCAGCTCAGCGAGGGATTTTTCGGATGGCTGTGCTGCCCCCTTCCGCTGCTGCACCTGAACCCGTGTTGGGCGATTGTGGCATACCACCATCTCTAGCCCTTCTCTCTTGTCCCCTGCCCACTGCATGGCGATTCTCATCTTCACCCAGAGATACCCCCTTTGATGCTTCTGATCCAGACGGGATAAATTCAATCCCGATCTGTGATTCGTCATAAGCAGCTTTATCCCTATTGGCTGGCGCATGTATTTGTTCAGGGCGATCGTGACGCTCCCGCCACGTCCCCGATCGTATGATCGCCGTCTCTCCCCCCAGCAGCGGGACTCGTCCCCCCCTACTGGCACCCCTTCCGCCTCTCCCCCCACGCGGCACTGCAGGGGGTCCTGTAATCCCACCGCCTCTTACCGCCATGTGCGGGCTGTGAGGCTGTGCCAGCCAGGATTTAAGGGGTTGATGCTGCCGCCTGTCCCGCGATCGTCGGCCTACCCCGTACGATTCCACGTCCGCGCGCCGCGCTCTGCGTTTCACGGTGAGATGGAGGCTGGGCTGGAGGTGTTTGCCCCGTTGTGTGTTGCATTTGTCGTGTTGGATCTGCTGCTGGCCTTTCCTGACGCGTCCCGTCCGCACTGGTTCCCTCATTTGCCCTTGGAGCAGAATGTGGAGCGGATGACGACGGAAGCCCTTGTGCTTATGGCAACGGCACTTGCAGGAGCCAGCCCAGGAGTGGTCCCGGCCGGCCAGGCGTCAGCGATGCTCCAAGCCGCCGCGGTGCTGGTCGGGTGCGGAGCCTCGCAGTCGTCCCGCGGGCGGCAGGAAAGGCGTTGTGGGTCTCGTGGGGCGGTGTACCACCCTCCTCCTGGGCGTGCCTCTACGGCCCTTCGGCCTCGGCAGCAGCAGACGTTCTAGCGCACGCAGCGACAACCTCGTCTGCCACGCCATGTTCCCCGTGTCGCGTAGCAGGTGCCCCCGGCCTCGTCATCGTCTCGATCACCCCATTTCTTGTCAACGTCGCCTCGACTGTCTCCCCAGCCACCGGAGCCAATGGCGCAACCCTCGCCGTCTCCTCCTCCTGTCCCAACTTCACCTCCAGTCCCCGCTCCTCAGCAAGCACGTGTGCCGCCAGGGTAGTGGCAAAGGGTGAGGCTGAGTCGTCGACAGCGGCAGCGGAATTCACGACGACAAAACTCAATTTCACTCCAATCCCCACTTCAGCCTCACTCGTCGTCACCTCCTCCTCGTGTCAATTCGGAAACCTCTGTGCCACCATCCCTGGAAGAGATGCCGTCACCGAGCCACCCTCCGTGCCTTGAGGACTTCCCATGGGAGTCATTGCCGCCTGCCACACAGGACACACCTCATTCTGAGGCTCTGCAGCACCGTTGGAGTCCGTGGGGGGAGTCCCCCTCCATTGAGCGAGCTCTTCGCGTTGAGCAGCGCGTTGGCCACGTGGGGAATTGCCTGACCCTATTGGCGATGATCCTAGACCAGCTGCATGCCTATCAGCAGCTGTTGTCGCGTCCTAGAGATGTGCCCTCCACAATGTCACGGCGGGAGCAGGAGGAAGCTGCGGCGGAGGCGATGGAGATGCTTCGGATGCTGCCCGCGATCGGACTAGTGCCGGGCACCCTTAACTCCGCCCTGGGCCAAGGCCTGGCCTCGTTAAGGTGGCTCGCCCTTGCCGCCCTGCAAGCACCGCGGGACATCGTTCCAGCTGCCGCCTCCGTCCTACGCTGGATGGACGGGCAGCTTTGTTGGATCCTGGCCGAGTAGCGGCCCCTCTCCCCTTGCCCGCTGGTGTGTTTCCCGGCTTGGGCTTGGGCTTTCATATGATGGTGTGAGCACGCTCGAGGGTGTTGTTGTTGCAGTTTGTTGCTACTGCCTCATGTTGTTATTTATACTCCTATAAGGCTAGCAGTCTTTGTGCCCTTGTCACCCCTAACGCGCGGCCGAAGGCCGCACTCTTGGGCGTCGGCCGCCTTCGGCGGCTAGCGCAAGCCGCTGGGATAGGAGAAGGAATGCCGAGAACAGAACAAAGAATGAGCCCCACAACAAGGTCCTAGGACCTTTATTAGGCAATGCCTTTACCTCTAACCACTTGCTCCCATGCTCAATCACGATTAAGATTACCGCTTCCACCTTCGGCTCAAAGGCATCTCTCTCGCCAGATCTAGTGACCATCCGAATCCAATCCCTTGGATAGGTAAGGAATGGAGCTATTCTCTTCCTTTCTCCAGCTCTACCTTGTTTCTGCTATATAGCTCGTATCCGGTCACCCATTTGTTAGAGACTAAGGACGGAGTCTATGAAGATTAGGGGCCGAAATATCACAAAATGGTTGGGCTTGAATTCTAGACAGAAATATCGACTTCATAAGAAACGTTGTCGACGATAATTGCACCATTTAAATTTTACCAATTTCAGATATGTTGTAGCTCTAGTCCGTGGCTACAATTTCCAATTTGAATCGTATAAAAGGGTGAAGTAGTTCTTGAGATATCAATTTCGGCGCACTAGGGGGTATGATGCCACAGAAACTTAACTCAATAACAATTGTCTCACAATTACCACACAAGAAAGTTGGAGTAGCTAGAAACTAGGTAGGAGGGGAGAAGAGGACGAGAGGGAAGGTCCCCAAGGAGTCCCAAGGAAACCCCATAAGCACATAAAATCCCCTCCCTATAGCAACCCCACTTTTACTTTTGTCACTTTCCCAACCTCCACAATCCATCTCACCCAAGTTGGCTACACTTGCCAACACAATTTGGTTTCTCCCAACCACTTGGCAGCATCTACAGTGATGGGGACGAATTTACCAACCCCCAAAAGTCTGTACCCCATATTGAGTCACTTCACAACTTTCCAAAGTTGTCGCATCACAAACAAAACTTCGAACAATCATAACATTCTTGTTCTTGCTCCGATCGCAGTGATCCTTGCTTCGTCGAAAAGCTCTTAAGCAGAGGAGTCACTTTAGATATCTGCTCAAGCCAAATAGCATTCACACACACTCAGGAAATCCAAACCACACCAAACACAAATTCTTGCACACGCTCACACCACACATGTAGCACACGAACATATGATGAAAGGCAGACAGACGTGAATGCAAATGATAGCATCACTTAACAAACTCCCCCTCTGGCTGCCAACCATCATCCCACATGCCTAGGCTCAAGCATGCACCCTCAATGCACACTCATTCCAACAAGCTTCATGCCCTTCCAATGCTCAGGTTCAGCCAGGCGCTTGGTGAGAATGTCAGCCGCCTGCTGATGGGTCTTCATAATCTCCAGCTGCACCTCCTTGTCCAGGAGCCTCCTCGTCCAATGCCACTTTGGCCTGATGTGTTTTGTCAGGCAATGAAGACAAGTATTGTTTGCTAGCTTCACAGCTGACTTATTGTCACAGAAATTCACAGTTGGCTCCTCCTGGCACACTCCGATCTCCTCCAACAAACGCCTCAGCCACACCACCTCCTTAGCCCCATGATGCAGGGCCATGTAATCTGTCTCACACGAGGACAGCCCCACCTCGTTTGGCTTCTTGCTGAGGCAGCTCATTGTACCACCTCCAAACAGGCACACATAGCCTCCAATGCTGATGCCATCCATCTTCACAGAGTTGAAGCTAGCGTCAGTGTAGCAGGTGAAGAGCATCTCCCCCTTGCTCAAATCAGCTGCACCCCTCTGCAGCCCCTGATGCACAGCAGTGTATTCCAAGCTCACTGATGCTGTAGTGCTCACATAGCGGACCAACCTCTTGGCTGCTTCCAGCTGCTCATGACTGAGGCGAGAGACCACACTGGCAAGCCTATATGTAGCAAAGGCAACATCAGGCCGTGTGTGGTTAGCCGCATAGTTGAGTGCCCCCACCATGGAATGAAACAACTTTCTGTCATTCTCACCCACCACCTCCTCATCAGCACATGGCTCAACAGTGAGCCCCGAAGGCAGTGGGGTTGCTGGCTTTCCTCCATCCTGCAGCCCATAATTCTCAGCCAGCCACTCACAGTACTTCCTCTGGTGCAACCTCAACACTCCCTTGTCAAGGTCTCTCTCCACATGCATGCCCAGGTAGTACTTCACATCTCCCATCTTCGAGCACTTGAACTGCATCTCTAGCATCTCCTCCACACGGTCAATCATTGTAGACGACCCAGAGAAGAGCAGGATGTCGTACACATACACCAGGAGCATGAGAAACTGCTCCTTCTCTTGCAGTAGGAATAGGCTGTGGTCGCACTCACTCTTCTTGAACCCCCCAGCCAGCAGTGTCTCCTCCAGCATGTGGTACCATGCACGAGGAGCCTGCTTCAAGCCATAGGTGGCCTTCTTCAGCCTGCACACCTTGCTGCTCCCATCATCCAATCCCTTAGGCTGTAACATGTACATCTCCTCTAGAATGATCCCATTGAGGAAGGTGGTAGTAATGTCCATCTGCTTCACCCGCCGTCCACGATTTGCTGCCATTGCCAATGACACCCGCAGTGTTGTGCCTTTCCCCATAGGAGCAAAGATCTCGTCAAAGTCCTTCCTCTTTGTCTGCTGAAACCCCTTAGCCACAAGCCTTGACTTGTATCGGGTCAGCGCCCCATCAGGTCCGCACTTGTGCCTGAAAATCAGCTTGGAAGAAATGGCCATTTTCCCACGTCTCATTCTCCAGCCGAGAGTCATACTCCTCCTTCACACTCTGCTTCCACTTTTCAGCATCGGGCCCGCTCAATGCCTCGGCAAGAGTCTTAAGCTCAGGGACGGCTGCTCAATAGCAGTAAACAATCTCATCCTCATCACGCTGCTTAGCCACACTCCCAGTATGTACCACCTTTGGCTTTCCAAAATTGGGATACGTCAGCCTGTTATGAGGGCATCCCTCCTAGGAGAGGGTCAGTCGGACGTGCGGCACCTTGTGGAGCACCTTGCTGCTGCTGCGGCTGCTGCTGCTGCTCCTCCACCTCAGGTTCTCCCCCATCCTCAGTCACCCCAGAGATCTCATCCTCAGAGACAGAAACCTCCACTTGCCTTGAAGGCCGCTGCACCTCATCGGCCTCGACGATCAGCGGTGTCGAAGGAAGCTTTTGCCGTTGCTACTTCCACTCCTTATAGTACAAGAACTCGAGGAACTTTACATCCCTCGACACAGTCAGCTGCTGGCTGGTCAACCCCATAGCAGCCAGCCCTTGTGGTCCTTCGCAAGCCCTAAGTGCACACCCCATCTCCCAGAAGCTTCCAGCTTTCCCCGGCACATGAATCTCCACCATGTAGTCGTAGGCTCTCAGCATGTTAACTACTGGTGCACTCCCATACCACTTGGTGCAGGGGACCCAAAGCTTGTCCCCCACAGTCGCGAGAACCCTGTTCTTCACAAGGCAACATGCCGTAGTGCAGTCACCCAGAATGGATCCGGCAGCCCTGCGCGCCCAAGGAGAGTGAGAGCACCTTCTTGCAAGGTCCGGTTGAACCATTTAGCTACGATGTTCTGCTGAATGTTGTAGGGCACTTTGATGTGATGCTGAATGCCCTTCTTCTTCAACACCGCCTCAAACTCATTGCCAACGAACTCCCCTCCATTGTCGGTGCGGATCACTTTCACTTTGTATCCGCTCTCCCTTTGTGCTCTCGGCATCTACTCCTTAAGAACAGCCGCTGCCACCTCCCCCTTAGTCTTGAGAGGGTACACCCACACTACACGCGTGTGGTCGTCCACGATGGTCAAGGTTTAAGTGGCTGCCCGAAAGTGAAGGGGACCTCGTAGGGCCCACCACGTCCATCTGCACAAGCGCGAGCGGGGCCTTGACTGGTCCCGTGCTGCTGCTGAAGGGAAACTTTGTGAACTTGGTCTCAAGGCATGTTGGGCAGCTCCCAATCTCCTTTGCTTCCCCCTTCACCTTCAGCCCGTTCAAGCTCCCATCCTTCACCAACTTCTGCAGCATTGGAATGTTGATGTGGCACAACCTCTCATGCCACGTCTCCCAATCGGCCTCACCACTCCCTGATGAAGCCTGTACCTATGCAGCTGTCGCATCCACGCCAGCAAGCACCTCACCATGTGGTTGCTGTGGCTGCTGCACCTTCTTGACTGCATCCAGGGCCCCAGCATTTGGTGCAGTCTCCTCTCCTCCCGCAGTTGCTTTAGCCGCTGCCGCTGCCATTGCCGTTGCTGGTGGTTTCCCATTCCAAGGGATGATGGGCAGCTACCACAGGTCCTTGATGCAGCTGCTCTTCTCCTCCAAATCCCACAGCAGCAACTTCCCAAGCTTTGCACGGCAGCAAGTTGGGCCGAAGTTCACTTTGGCCTAGCTCTTCTACAACCGGCGCACATAAAGAAGGTTAGCGCACAAACCTTCAACCAACAATGCATTCCCTAGCCCCACAAGCTCCGCATTAGCTCCCATTACCTTGGCATTCCCCACACCAATCACAGGGAGCAAAGCACCTGAAGCGGCAGCCACAAACTTGATCTTCCCAGGGGGCTTTACCTCGTCAAGCAAATCTGCCCGTGGAGTCATGTGACTTGTGCACCCTGAGTTGATCACCTAGTGAGTGAGGGGGTGCATTACAACCTTCCCAAGTAAACCCACATCATCCTCACTTCCTTTCACATCTTCAACCATAAGGAACATCTCAGGGGAGGCTTTACCTTGTGCAGCATCACCTTGTGCACCTGAGCCTTGCACAGGGCCACCTCGTGCACGTTCACCACTTGGTGGCTTCATGCCTGGAGGCGCCCATCCCTCAAGCTGGCTGAAACACTTGAACCATGGGTGTCCAGTC